GTTCAAATCTCAATTACAGTTCAAACTTAACCATTTTTAAAGCACCACACAAAGAGGAGACCGAAATAATGGGAAACACTAATTAAAAATGCTATAAAATACTAGCAATGAATTTTTTTAAAGACAAAACGGCAGAAGTCTAATGGCGGATTTCAACCCACAATCTTTTGAGTTCGCGGTCTACACTGTATTCTATCTCATTCTCTCGCAGGCTAAATCCTATAGATGTATTAGTTTGTCTCTTTTTAGTGTCGCTTTTTTGTTTCGAGTTTCATATCAGAACCATTTCAGAAGTTTGAACTTCAAAACAACTGGATACTAACGGATATACCAAGCCTGGCAAATATGGCAAATACCCATATGTTTATCTAAGGTGGAGGGGACCCCCTAGGTAATCTATGGGGTAGACCTGAGTTCAACAGTGGGCTCGTAATTACTTATAACGAATTAACAAAAGAAACTACAGAAGCTCTTAATCAAATAAATATAATTACAGTATCACAAACCTATACAAAATAATACATTTATTGTTTAAAATTAATCTTATATCCTTTTGTTTCGGGGTCCTGTTCCAATTGGAAATTATCAGTAGAGAGGCCGAATGGTTTTAATATCATGTTGCCTAGATCTTTCAGTTTTCCTAACATCTCCTTCTTTAGTTTTTCATTCTTCTCCTCTATGAGTGGAGGTAGACGGACAACAGCGGCTTGTGCTTCTTTGTGCGTTGGGTCCAGTTCTAGTATTTTCTTGTAATCCGCTAAGCATTCATCTAATTTGTCAGTCGCTTCATATGACTGTGCCCTCCTGTAAAAAAGGAAATTCAAATGTCAATAATATCACTTAACAAAAAGTTACAACCTAAAATATACATCCCACAGTTGGGCATGGGCCTCTCCCCATTTTTAAAGGGTGCTATGGAACAATTATTCCACTAAGCTACTCTAGTGTTCCATATAAACTAGAGACGGGCCGAATATTCGTTTTATATTCGATATTCGGCATATTCGGCAGCTTTACCGAATATTCGTATTCGGCCGAATATTCGGCTAAATCACCGAACATTCGTTTAAGTGGTACTCAAAGCGTCCACTGCACAGAAATGTACGAATTAAGTAATGCCATGTCTTTTAAAATTTTACTGTTGAAAGTATATTTTATTTTTGGGTTAAATCTACTTGTATAGCGTTATGTTTTTGAGGCACCTTAAATTTATATCCAACTATAGCAAATAGAAAGCTCGAAAAAGTTTATTTGGAATCAAACAAAAAAACATAACTTCATATTTATTTTTCACTTTACTTTGATCGTCAATTTTTCTAAAATATGTAAATCAATAGGATAATAATAATTATCAATTTTCACTAAGAATAACACAACAATATACTTTTTTGTGGCAAGGCAATTTTCTCAGTATGCAATAACGAGAGCGAGTGGTAGGGTCTGGCGCTAATTCCGCACGCTTTACGATAACAAGTTTCGACAGAAATTGATTAGGTACCGAGGTGATCCTGCCGAATAATGTTCATCCGAATATTCGGTTCGGTAAAAGTTTTCAGAACTCTCGGCCGAATACTCGTATTCGGTGAAATCCGTGTTCGGCCCATCTCTAATATAAACCCATTGAGGTATTATGTACTACGTACTAGAGGCGACACTGCATTCAGCTACTCTGTTCCACTCAACTGCGGTGCATACACCATACTTTAATCAGTCACTCGCTATGCGGCGCTTGTAGAGTTGTCTGTCACGTGTTGTGTTGATTTTAAAAAAATCTCTTGATAAAAATATGGCGTCGTGAGTACTTAGATATTGCCCAAATAATTCAAGAAATGTCAGTAAAAACCAAGGAATTACTTTTCATCGGTTAATAAGATACTTAATCAATAAAAAAAAGTATTATAAATTAATAATAAAACAAACTATTCCTAAGACGCCATTTCGTGTCATGGAATATAGATTATGAAATTAATATGTTCAGAAGCGACATTTCTGTGGGTACTTTAGTATAGGACGAATATATTACTATACCCCTTTTTTTTAGAAACATAATATAAGTTATTATAATTAGGCAAAATTTTTCATGTTTTTATTCTCTTCTTTTATTTTTAGGTTTTCACTTCAAAGTCAAAGTGGAATAAATTAGTCCATTTTTAACTCTCGCGTGCCCAGCATTTATGAACGATTTACAACATTTATGATTCTAATTTAAATAAATATATTTGTAATTTAAATTTTATGTTAATAAGTTTTGTTAAACATACATTTAGTACGTTTTTTTATATTTGACATAGATACCTTTTAAAATATTCAGATAACAATATCATTAAAATGTAATTCTGACATAATATTATGTAATATTATATTAAATTAGCACATATCGACGATGAAGTGACAAGAACTCCTAACTGACATTTTTGCGATTTTACTTTTTTTTCGTAGATAAACTTTAAATAATTGTTTGCGTGAGCAGGCAATAGCAGCTAACTTTATATCTTATTTTTTAACCAGTTATTAATAACTGACAATAACTATTAAGCAAATGTGCATCAAATTTTCTGACAATATCATCTAAGAAACTAATATCAATAACTACTAAATAACCCTAACGAAATTATTTCTGTCAAGACCTCCCATCTTCACTCCTGCTAGATACGTCCTTTACTTTCACGCAGCTGCCGGCCGACTGAATGGTCCTGCTTGGTGCTTGCGTCTAGGAAGGATAATTTTATAGATAAGCTAAAAATGCGAGTGAGACGGATAGAAGGGATCATGCAATATTCGCTTACATTTTTTCTTCTGTCATTTCGTTTGAATTCGGAGCAAGTTGCAACGTGAAAGTTTGCGGGAAGTGTGTTTTTGTTGTTTTTAATGTAAATAGTGGGATTTTTGTTATACCAGGTAATTATTTTTTGCCTAAACTAATGCTCATACAGTTAAAACTTAAACAGAAGTGTTTTCTTCTTGTTTTTTTTTTGTTATTGTTAAGGTTAATGAATACGTTTTTCAAATACCTAAGTAGGTATTTTAAAGTTGATGAAGTCTTCTGGTTTTTCCGAGCTATATTAATAAAATATACAGCTTTTGTTAATCATCTAATTAAATTTAGTTTTATACTACAATAATATCATAAGATTATTATGTTATCGTAAGTTTTATTGGTGTGTTCCAAGAACATAGAAGTTATTGTTTGAGTGTACAAATTTGATTTGTACATTTTTAGTAGATAGAAGCAATTGCTTTTGTATTAGTATAGAACCATAATAACTTTTAATTCGTTCTAACAAAAAAATACTGATGTTTAGTCATTAATTATAATACGTAATAATCTTTTTTATAGGCCGCCAATATTATTACTACCGCTATGGCTCGATTTCTACAAGGAGTGAGAAGCAAAAGGATTCTTAGCGAACTTCAACAAAATAATTTGGTAACAAACCTAAGACATTCTACTGCTGAGGAAAATGAACAAATATTTATACATCAACACGAAATGGTAAGATATTAAAATCATCAATCATTTGCGTATAAAGTTCTTCTGCTTTGCATAAATAGGAACCTACTTTGTAAGAACTCCTTAACTTTACATTTAATAATGATTTATTTATTTATTTTTAGTCTGAAAATAACATAAACACGCCTTTTTCTGGCAATTGCTGTAGTCCTGAACAAAGCGATCTCAACCCTAATGCCAACCCAAAGGAAGCTATCAACGCCACCATCAATGTTCTAAGTCCACCAGAAATCTGTAGCTTTGAACCCACAGAAATCCTTGACAATAATGATTACGAATCTACTTCTTTATATTCAAGCACTCGTCGTCGTCTCGTAGTAAGGTCTTGGTCATTATCTGATTTAACGCATGATACAAACAATATGATTAGTTCCCTAAAAAAGTCGCCATCGGTTCCAGCGTTGTTGAACATTACCAGTAATCTTGATTTATTGATTGCGTTTAACAAACCGGATCAGATCGAATCTACATCAGATGATGTTTACCAAATTCCTGAAGAAAGAAATTTTGCTGAAGTATTGGTGACTGGGGACCAACAAGATTATGGAGATATGGAAGAAGGTCGAAAACGTCGTCACAATGCTGACCCAAAATCTTGGAAAAGGAACAAGGCTTTTTTGAAGCGAATGCGAGGTGAAGAGTATCTAGGATATTCTAAACCAAAAGATAGGAAGTTCCAACAAGATACTGTAAGACAAGCAAGACGGCTAAGACCAACTTGCGTCTCCAATTTTTGTAAGAAGAGTAAGGTAAGAGGCTGTGATAGGTTCACTGAGGATTGTCGAAAGGATATACATAGCAATTTTTGGAAGAAAATGACCTGGGATCAACGAAGAGTTTACGTTACGGGATTGGTGACACGATCTAGTACATCTCGGAAAACTAAATCGGCTAGTGAACTATCTAGGCGGGAGGGAACTCTATCATATTTTTTTGCCGATTGAAAAAGATTGTTCAAATAAAGTACAGGTATGTAAACAAATGTTTTTAAACACTTTATCACTGGGATCGTTCACTGTTCAAGCATGGGTAAAAAAGAGAGTCTAGCATGACTTCAAACCATGATGCAATATACGATTCTAAAACAAAGACTCCAAGAGCAGAAGTGGAAACGAAACTTTCGATTTTAAACAATTTTTTTACAAGTTTGCCAAAATTGCCGTCGCATTACGCAAGAAAAGATACAGCTAAACTCTTCATAGAACCAACCTATCGTTCTCTTTCCGACTTATACAAAGCGTATAAGAAATATTGCACTGAAACTAGTCAACCTTACGTTAGTAGATTTACATTTGAAAAGAATTTTCATGACAAAAATTTGTCACTATTTACGCTTAAAAAGGACATGTGTGACACCTGTTCAAGTTACAATTCGGGTAATTTAAATGAATCAGATTACCAAATACATATAATTAAGAAAAACAGAGCTAGACAAGAAAAAGAAGAGGACAAGAAAAAAGCAGCTGCTGGAGAATTTATACTTTTGACTATGGATTTAGAAGCTGTGAAGGTTTGTCCTTACCTTACTGCTAGTGCTTTGTATTTCAAGACAAAGTTAACGTGCCATAATTTCACTGTTTTTAATTTAGTAACCAAGCACTGCAGTTGTTATTGGTTCGACGAAACTTCTGCTGATTTAACGTCTAGCACTTTTGCGACGTTTTTAATTGATTATTTAGAAAGACATTGTATTCCACATCAGTTACCAATTGTTATTTACTCCGACGGGTGTACATACCAGAATCGTAATTGTGTGCTGGCAAATGCACTGCTCCTTTTGAGCAAGCAACATAACGTAATCATAACGCAAAAATTTTTAGAACCAGGTCACACTCAGATGAAGTGTGACTCGGTTCACAGTACTATTGAGCGAAAACTCAAAAATCGGGAAATACATTTGCCTAGTGATTATGTCACGATTACTAAAGAGGCACGAAGCACTAACCCTTATGAAGCAATTAATGTAGATCATGAATTTGTTAAAGATTATGCCCGACCTGAAAATATGCTTTATAAAAGTATTCGACCAGGCCGCAAAGCTGGTGATCCACAGGTTGTAGATATCAGAGTAATAAAGTACAATATTATGACAATCGAAGTTAAACTGGGTTTTGACGAACAGTTGATTCCTTTACCGCACAGACCTAGGTTACTAGCTTCGGAAGCAATCTATCCTCCACTACATCCTAATAAAATTCCAATTACTGTAACGAAGTACAACCACCTGCAACAACTAAAAGCAGTATTACCTAAAGATTGCCATAATTTTTATGACACTTTGCCATTTGTTTGAACCATTTGGTTCATTTAATAAAACATAATTTTTGAGACAACATAGTTGTTCCAACATCATCTTCCTGCCCTTGTCCGATTTTATTTGCGGTCGGCATAACATGTTTTGTTCCAATAATCGTAATTATAAACTGATTATATTCTGTTTTCTTTTAATTAAGTCTCAAGAGCAATGTAGCCATTTTTATGTTGTATCAGATATTTGATTGTAATAATTAATAGGACAATGTTATTTTCTAACAATCTGTAACATTTTTGAAGTTAATTAAAAATTATTCTATGAAAATCACGCCTTTTCTTTAAAATATTATAGAAATTCCTTACTAGAAATATCTTCTATCTTTGCTATTATAATGTATATTTTCAAAGCCTAGATTGCAATATCACCTATCTACGTCTAAATCAAAAAGTTGATTGTATATACACTATTCGCACATAGCCCCCTATACCCGCTTCTTATTTAATATATATCCAATAATAGTATTTTTCATACCTTGCGTTTAAAATAAATAAAAAGTTTTTTTCGTTTCCTGTAAAATCATGTTCTGGTAGATAAAGGTTCTTGTCACTTCATCGTCGATATACAAAATAAAAAACAATTTAAAAAATTGTACTCGATATAATTAACAATACAATATAAATAAACAATTATTACATACTGACCATTCTACTTACGTATAATCTATAATAACAAAAACTGACCGCGCAAGCGCAATGCGCGTTTATACCAACTGCGCATGCGCGACTCTACTATTACCGCGCATGCGCGAAGACATAGAGTAGCGCACAATTTTTGTTTGGAATAGCTTCTCTAGTACGTAGTACATTATACTCTTAATCTAATTTAAATAAATGTATTTGTAATTTAAATGTTATGTTAATAAGTTTTGTTAAACATACATTTTGTATGTTTTTTTTATATTTGACATATATACATATATATACCTTTTAAAATATTCAGATAGAAATATCATTAAAATGTAATTGTGATATAATATTATGTAATATTATATTAAATAAGCGAATATAATATACAAAATAAATGACAAAATTTAAATATTGTTCTCAATAAAATTTACCAATTTAACGTGTCATTCTATCTATGTTTATTCTATGATAAAAAAAAACCAACCGCGCGAACACAGAGTAGCGCACATTTTTTGTTTGAGATAGCTGTTCTAGTACGTGAATACATATTACTTCAATGATATAAACCCAAGTAATTAAATATTAGAGGAATTGTAAAAACATTTTATCTTTGGATTTAAGTCGACAACTACTTAGTCGGGTCGTAAGTTCTGTCAAAACTTTATTATTTAAAATTTTTGAATACTGTTTAGATGAACTTTAATAATTTAAAAAATATAACGTTTTCGATTGCCGAAAATAAAAAAAGACATTATTTTCATTCATTTCTAAATATGGAGTGGTTGAAGAAGGAACATAAGAGTAGCGTTGCGCTGTGGTTACGCGCCAAAAGAGATTTTAATATTCTACAAAAATTGAAAATAACCCTCCGATTTGTTTATCGCTAGTGCAGTGAATCGTTTTATAGGTCGAAGAAGATTCAAGCTTCGAAGACCGTAAAAGGACCGGCCGACTTCGTACAGTTCGGACACCCATGGTCGTCAAAGCAGTGAAGACGTAAATCCAACGAAATCCTGTTCGTAAACAAAAAAATCTTAGCTCTTCAGATGGGTCTAAGCAGAATCACGGTCAAAAGAGTGATCAATGAAGACTACGAGTTTATCGTAAGAAGACCGGACATTTTTTGAACGAGCGTTTGAAAAAAATTAGGCTGGATAGATCCCGCGCTTTGTTACGGCGGTGGTACGCGGGAAAAAAATATCGCGAAATTTTGTTTTTGGATGAATTTTTTTTAACGTCGAAGAAAGTTATAATAAACAAAATGATAAGGTGTATGTCCAAGGCAGTGAAGAAGCCAGCACGCGTATTCCGAGGGTTCGACGAGCACATTACCCTTCGTCACTCATGGTTTGGCTTGGAGTCTCATTTCAGGCTTAACTGAAGTGGTTTCCTGTGAAAAAGGTGTAAAAACCAGTGCCGAGGTGTACCAAAATACCGTCCTAACAAACATAGTAGAACCTCTGTCTCAAAGAATGTTCATTTCATCATTAGTTCATGACATTGGATATTCCACCAGGACTCTGCACCAGCTCATAGGGCACGAAGGATGCAAAACTGGTTGACCGCCTATGCAATTGACTTTATCGGACATGAAGACTGGCCCTCTTCTAGTCCAGATTTAAGCCCAATGGATTCATAAGATATGGCAATATTTGGAGGAGACAGTCTGCCTCATCAGAATTTGGAATCTCTCCGAGCATCTTTGGCTAAAGGAGCGGCTGAAATAGATATCGAGTGTGGTGCGTGTTGCGATTAATGATTGGCCGTGTCGATTATGGACGTGTATTCAAAATGTGGGAGGGAATTTTGAATAATGTAAATAAAATTGTATTCTAAATTAAATTACCTTTCATTTCATATATAATTTCTATATAATTATCAAAAGTGTATCATTAATTTTTATAAAAAGTTTTTGACAGAACTTCAGACCTGACTAGGTATAACTTACCTATAATATGCTTTTAGATATTTATCATCCAGTTCAATGGCTTTACTGCAGTCCTTGATAGCTCGCTTATATTTCTCTAATTTCATTTTCGCGGCACTTCGGTTACAATAGAGGATTGATCTTTGCTGTGTGAACTGTAGAGGACAAATCCTTAAACCTGAAAACATTTTTAGTCTTAAAATAGTAAATCCTATATTGATTTGTAGAGTTGAAAGGATCCACTGTTCAGTATTAGAACATAAATAAAATAATTGATTACGACAATAAATAGGATTTAATGAACATAAACAACTATATAATATTTTTCAAATAAAGAAGGAAAGTACCATATAGTGGTATGTAAGAATATCCACGACCCCATATCATCCCGTGAGTGTCGTAAGAGGCGACGGAGGGAAACAAATCAGGAGATGAAGAGCAGCGTCTTTCTGATAACGACTAAAAATAAAAATTATGTTTACCAACCCGTTTGCCAAGGGTGGCAACTATGGGAAAATCACCCCTAAGAGGTAATCTTTGGGAGAGGCAGTTCAGCAGTAGACTTTAATAGGCTGTAATGGTAAAGGAATTTTTTGGTAGCGTGTAGATACGTAGACAACCATCGGTGTGTGGCAAGACCATTAGAACTTCATGTTTGGTTACTCCATTCACCTTTGAGTCACATTTTGTGTCACCTATGAACCATACACATCACGCGCTCCTTACTTACTTACCTTGAGCGTCCTCATACGGCCAGCAGTGAAGGACCACGTCTCTGATCCGTAAGTCATCACTGGCAACACGCACTGGTTGTACACTTTAGTTTTCAGAGATTGAGGTATACCTGACGAGAAGATATGTCGTAATTTCCCGAACGCTGCCCAGCTGAGTTGAATCCGTCGATTGACCTCTCGGTCGAAGTTGGACTTACCTAGTCGGACTATTTGTCCCAGGTAAACGTACTCGTCAACAACTTCGAGCATAGTGCTCCCAACAACTACCGGCATAGGTGAGACATGGACATTAAACATGATCTTTGTTTTGTCCATGTTCATCTTAAGACCTATCCGTTGGGAGACACAATTGAGGTCATTGAGCATAGTGCTAAGGTCCTCCAGCGATTCTGCCATAAGGACTATATCGTCGGCAAATCGAAGGTGAGTGATGTACTCGCCATTGATGTTAATACCGTATCCTTTCCTGTCCAGTATCTTGAAAACGTCTTCCAATGCAGCGGTGAAGAGTTTCGGGGATATCACGTCACCCTGTCTTACACCTCTCTGCAGTTGGATAGGTTTCGAGCTCTGATTCTGTACTCGGATAGCCATCGTAGCCCTACTGTACAAACACTTCAGCACTTCGATATACCGACAGTCAACTTGGCACCGCTGAAGGGACTGTAGCACCGCCCAAATTTCGACGGAATCAAAGGCTTTCTCATAGTCCACATACGCCAGGCAAAGTGGCAGATTGTACTCTTCGGTCTTCTGTACAATCTGCTCTATGAATGTACTGAAGCCTTTTCGGAAACCGGCTTGTTCAGGAGGCTGGAAGTCGTCGAGTCTGCGTGCGAGACGATTCGTAATGACTCTCGAAAGCAGCACGTAGACGCGGCTCAGAAGGGAAATTGGTCTGTAGTTCTTCAAGAGAGCGTTGACGCCTTTCTTAAAGAACAAGACCACCGCACTTCTGCTCCACGCCTCCGGAGTAGTGCTAACATGGAGGACGGAGTTGAAGAGCTTCTGAAGGACTTCAAGTACCGGTGTTCCACCCGCTTTCAGAAGCTCCGCTGTAATTCCATCCTCGCCTGGGGCCCTGCCGTTTTTAAGGTGCTGGAGAGCCACTCTAATCTCGCTCAGACTGACGTCCGGGATATCATCGGAATAGTGTCGGGTAAGACTTGCCTTTGTATTGTTACTCACACTTGCGTGTGGCTCCAACGATGATGTGTACAGCTGCCCATAGAACCTCTCAATCTCACTCAAAATCTCAGGTGTCTCGGAAACGATGCTGCCACACTCAGTCTTCAGCTTTGACAGTTGGCTCTTTCTGGCAGACAGATCTCTGGCAAAGACTTTGGAGCCCTGGTCCCGCTCGATCGCTTCTTTAATACGAGCAGTATTAAAGTTGCGTAAGTCTCGCGGCATGCATTTGGAGATCTGTCTGTTCAGTTGCCTGTATGCTGTCAAATCTGTTGACGATTGCAGCCTCATCTCCCGTCTAACAGCCATGAGATTAAGAGTTTGATCGGAGAGTTTTTGTGTTCTTCTGCGGCGGGTCTTGCAGAACTTAGCTCCGACCGCATGGACAGCTTCCAAGAGCCTGTCATTCATATCCACTGCATTGCAATCTTCTAGGCACTGAAAGCGGTTACGTAACTCGAGCTGAAAAGTCTCGGGATTCTGGATTAGAGCACGAGGGGGACG